CCCTAAAAGTTTGCTTCAGTGGTAGTATTAGAAATTTTTAAATCAAAATCTGAAAATCAAGTGTAAACTCACTATCCCCATTGGTTTATCCCTAAAAGTTTGCTTCAGTGGTAGTATTAGAAGTTTTTAAATCAAAATCTGAAAATCAAGTGTAAACTCACTATCCCCATTGGTTTATCCCTAAAAGTTTGCTTCAGTGTGGGTGAAGTGCCACTGCACTGGGTTGAATTCCTTATGTACAAATACTTGTAACTTTTACTTGTCTCATAACTAATAATTCTTCCAGAAATAATACACCATTTTTCCTATGGTTTTGTTTTTCTTCAACCTTCAATCTTGTTGCATAGCCATTATCAATTTAAACCATCTTGATAATGGTGAACTGTATAATAGTCCACTGTGTTTCGGTTTAGTGGACTATGAGTATCAAGCATGTATGGTTAATTTATGGTTTAGTGTATTGTATTTTGAATTTTAAGGTTAGTTGTCATTTTGTTGTTTGGTTATTCTGATGCATGGTGATGATGCCAAGTAACCAGAGGGAATGCTGTGCAGTTCACCAGTACTTATAAACTCCAGTGACTTTTGTGCCATTTGCATCCTATTGCTAACCTGTGAATAGAACTTTGTCCTACTCATTGTCAGCCTATTTCATATTTTTTACACAACCTGATAGACCTCTTTATTTCTCCTGAGGATGTTCAATTACTTGAGTTCAGGTGATTGGCTGCTATGTTGGGAATAAAGTATTGTTCAGGTAGGGTGAAAGAAAGCCATACTCTAAATGCAGCACGGTACATTAATTGCTACTTGTTGGGATATTGCACCTATGTTTTTGGGCTCTAAACTGGCTGCTGATTAATTTTTGAGTACAATTTAAACTGTTGCTTTTGATTTGTTAAATCATTTATGTCTTGGTACCTAAACGCTTAGAGGATTTAGGTCACCTATGGAAAAATATCCAGTGCTCCACTTTTGTAAAATTAAAGACCTGAAGTCAAGAAGAGCAACTGTACTTCTCAATTGTAGTGCCTCTTGAACAAGTCTCCTGAGGGAGGAGGCACCTGTCCTGGTTGTATTTCTCCTTCCATCAAGCCAGAGCCCATTGCTTCTTCAGTTTCTTCCAAGCAGGAGAGGCCTTCAGATTTAGAAAAATGAAAGCCATTTTATGGAGAAAACAAACGAATTATTTCAACTGATTTTCATTAAAATAATCTATATAACTGTTTTGAATCCTTGTTCACGTTAACTGTTTCTTTTGTTGGTGGTTTGATCCTAAGATGGGAACATTCAGTTTGGGCAACATGGCTGAACATGTTCCTTCCCAAGAAAAATGAAGGAATTCCTTGCAAGAATAGACCAGTATTTCGTATAGTCTATCTCAATAGCTGGTCACCATCTCCCAGATGTCTTTGGCAAACTCGCTTCTTTCCTATATCTTTCTTCACAACAGTGGTGTGGAACAGCTGTTGTTCAGGGCAGTTAAGGTGGTGGTGTGGCTAAGGAATGGAGAGACTTAGGTTCTAGTCCATCTCTGTTCCTAGAAATCCACTGTTATCTCTGTGGACAAGTCATTCTCAGCCCAATCTACCTAATAAGGGTATTGTTACAGGATAAATTAAGATCTTCATGTGAGCCATCTCTTGGACAAAAGGCAAGCTAGAAATATAACAAAATACATTCATAAAAAAAATTCTGATTCTCATAAATTGCTATGGCAAATGTATTTCCTTGGCAATTGTTTGCATCAACAGCTAGTAAATATTGTCTAACTTTGTTTTAGTGATTGGCTGGATAAGTAAGTTAGGAACAATAATATAAACATTAAAAACACAGCCGTTTTAGTAATCCTGAAAAATCATCCACGATCATCCAAGTCCTATGCTCGTATATTATTCCAATGGTGGCTGTATCCCCAAGAAAAACATTCATATAATAAGCTAAAGATATTTAAGACAAAAAATGTGGCATCCAACTACATTAAAAAGCAACTAAAAGGTAATCAGGTATAACTGTAACTTAATAAATAGTTCCCACTATGTATTCATGTTGGTCAGACAAAAATGTTCAGTTTGTAAAATGGAATAGAAATGCAGACTAAATTATATATTTATGAAACAAAACAAATACACAGATAATCAATGCAATGATGTCTCTTGTGAAAAAAATGTTAGAAGTCTAGTTGGTTGCAAACTGGTTGCAAAACAAGACAATTGCACTTTTAAGCTGCATCAACAAAAATATAGTTACTTGTTCCAATTTACTATACATTGGTAAGATTCTCACTCCAATACTGTGTATGTAAAAAGCAGAATTTGGCTACTTTTTAAAGGTGTATACCAAATAAACTATAATTAATAGTTTATTGTAGAGAGAATGAAGAAATGGCCTATCTTGAGAAGGATGGCACGTACAGAAGGCAAATACCTGTTTTCTATCAATCAATGACAATAAAGAAACCTGTTGGGTATTATTTATCAAACCACAACTGCACCTACTTTTGCCACCCATTACAGTTCAGGCTTTTAGTATATATTATATCCCTTTTATCTCAAAAAATGCAAATGAACTTGGGACATATTTCTGGAGTAGAGAAAAAGAAACAGCATAAACCTCTTAAATCTATATAAGCAAGGATAATGCCTCAATTCCATACATGTTGTTTTTAGAATTATTTTATTTTTTATACCTATGAGCCTTCACAGCACCATCATAAAACAACCCATTTAAAATCATGGTCCTCCATAAATATTGAACACCCTAGAGCAGTGATGTCAAACTGCCGGCCCATGGGCCTGATGCATCATACAAAACGGCACCAACCCCATTGCCGGCTATGGAAAAAAAGTCACAATACGTCGCGACACATCACGTGACGTTGCGGGTTTGACACGCCTGCCCTAAAGCTTTGCATCCAGAACAAGTTCTTGTTCCATAAGGGAGTGAGGCAGCTAATTGTGAATGTCTTTGTACAGAATATCATGACAAAGATAAGACAATTCTATGTCTTCCCAGTCAAAACATCCAATCACTGAAAATCTGTCAGCACCAGACCAGAGAGTTATGGCTCTAGAAGCCAACATCTCTTTCTGCAATCCTTCACTTCATCAAAACAATTAGAAGTCCGAAGAGATTCTTATGGCTGGCACACAAATAGAGTATTCCAATTTCCCCCAAGTGTCCTTTCATAATCCAGTTTTTTACCTGGTTTTCTCTCATGACATTGTAGTGAGGCTTCAGCTCATATTAAAATGCTCCCTGCTTTTCCCTTTTACGGAATGGATTTTATGATGCTTATTAAGGGCAGCCTTCTGAATAAAGCTTTTCCCACAATCTAAGCATTCAAATGGTTTCTCCCCAGTGTGGATCTTCTGATGTCGGTTAAGATTTGAACTGCTACTGAATCTTCTCCCACAGACAGGACATTTGTGCGGCTTCTCTCCTGTGTGGACTCTTTGGTGACGGTAAAGTACTGAACTGGACTGGAATGTTTTCCCACAAGCAGCACATTCATATGGCTTCTCCCCGGTGTGGGTCCTCTGGTGAATGATGAGCTTGGAGCTAGAAAGAAAGAATTTCCCACAGACCAAGCACTTATGTGCTTTTCCTCCTATATGACGGTTCTTAACCACTGTGGAGCCCCGATTCAAATTTCTGCCATAAGCTCGGGAGGCATTTTGTTTCTTACCAGTGTCATTTCCTGTCTGGACTGTGGCTGCAATGATAGTTTTGTAGTCTCCCACATAAGGGACAGATGCATCAGCTTCACCTCCTGCCAAGGTGCTCTGTTGACATTTCAGTCTCTCCTGATTAGTTAAAGCCTTTTCCTGCACACAACACTGAGGAACAATCTCTTCTGCTTTCCAAAGAGACACCTCACAAGGCCCTGCTTGCGCAGAATCTTCAGCCACATCTGTCTCTCTCTCGTGTATAGTCATCCAGTCCTTACCTGCTGGAGAAATTAAGAAAAATTCAAATGACTCACTCATTGACCTTGAGAAAAACATAACTTGAAAACGGAAAATTATAGATAGTTAAGAAAAACTAGTAGCTTCTCTCTAAGATCTCATTCAGAAGGAAAAAGGAAAAGACATCACAGGACACTGAAGAAGCCTGGCATTTGTATATTTCTAACAACTTCTCATTAAGCAAAATTGAACAGGCAGGATCCTAGTTTACTTTAACATATATTTATGAGCCAAATTTAATCTCACAAAGAACATGCTTCTCCCATAGAACTACAGTATATTTCCGTGACTCCTTGTCGTTTTTCAACTTTTCATGTTCAAATCCAAGGCAAACCAATCCTCAAGCTCAGAGAACGAACCTTCATCCTCATCCTATACCCGAGTTACAGATATTCGCCACTATTGCAAACCATACTCTCCTGAGGGGGTATTGAGAGTGACTTGTTGGTGTCCTATCTGAGAAAGAATCTCACAATTGACATGTTGATCCACCTTTACTGAGCCCAAATGAGAAGCCTGTTGGGTCACATGCAGCCTCTGAATTCTTCTTTAATGGACCCAACAGGCTCCTTGGATCACACCATTGAATAAATCAGTGTGGCTTCTTACTTTTTGAGCCATGAAGGACTCATGCAGTAGTCACCTGAAAAAGGCTGAACACTTAAAAACAAAACAA